GGGGGGTTTGTCAAGGTTGTTGGGGGATAAAGAATGTGGGGCATTGATACCACCACCCCCCCTTCAGCCCCAACACTAATAAATCTTAAGTTTGGCTGGCTGCTCTTCTCTCTTTCTCTGCTCCTCTGTTTTCATCTTCCAGAGCCGAGTTTTTGGTTTTAGCTTTCGGTTTCCTCAAAGGTGAGTCTTGGGGGAGAGGGTGGGGCGGGAGGGATCCTTACGTTCCGGGCTAGCTCATTTTTCTGTGCCGGAAGCATTTCGCACGAACACGAACCACTTTTGTGATTGAGTCTCGGCTACGCTTCGCACTAGTCACTAGTATCCTAAGCTCCGCACGCTAAAGTCCCTAAAGTGCTCTAAAGCGTCTGGGAGCGCCTAAGTCCAAACCACTCTCAACTCTCAGGCTACCTGAGACTCGACCACATCTCAGCCTCGAAGGTCAAATTTTAGTTCCCATTCATTCCCATTCCCTAAACGTCTATAAGCTTACTTATGCTTCTTAACGCTTCATAAGCCCTGAACTCCTAAACTCTTGAGTTCTGCAGACTAAGGTGAGTCTGCGCTGCTCTTCAGCTGCTTCCAGGTGCTTCTTCTTAGGTCACCCCCTGTGTTGGTGCAGTGTTGCAGGTTTGGGTGCACTCCTCTGGAACTAACCGTGAAGCTGAACACTGAGTAGGGTAGGGCACGGCACCATGGTGTGCTCGTTTTCTTCGATTGAGAATAGAGCGTTGGCACTCTGCTGGTAGGAGGAATCAGTATCTCTAGGCGTGAAATTTGAGGATGTCTACTGCAGGTTTCGATGTTCGTCGGGTGGTACAAGCTCCGAGGCCCTAAACCCTGAACACCTGCTTGTATTGCTTTTCACAGCCTCAAGCGCCAGTCCTCTGAGTCCGAAATGTCCGAGCGGTTGCCACAGGCCTTCGTCGCCGCGCGGCGTGAGGTTGCTGAGGATCCTCCCTGTGATTTGTTTTGCAAGCTTTGTGCAGCACACCTTTGCTCGTCCTTAACTCTGAGGACTGTTCTCAAGGTCTGTTCGGGTCGACAAAAGCCTCAAGGCCCAAGGCTCCAAGGGACGAGCATGTCCTCCATCCTGCCTCGAACTTGACCCCCCCTGTCTTTTAAGCAAGCCCAACCCTGAACTCTCTACATGTTGCACCTCCAGGAGGCTGCCTGCAAGGCACAGCTGCAGAAGAGTCAAGAGCAGGCCAAGGGAGTACTACAATCTCGTAGCACGCCCTTGGGATGAATGCGTTGGAATACAACGTCGCAACAGTGACGCTTTGGCCGCCTCAGCTGAGCCCATCTGAGAAAGGCACAAGGGCTAGGAGCGCCGCAGCTCAGCAGCTTTTGCACATACCGCTCAGATCGACTCCTTCCGGAAGTCGAAGTCTGCGACTGCCCAGCGCATCATCCGCGAGATGCGCCCATCCCGGAGCCGACACATCTTCGACTGTTTCGGGTTTGGGGAGGAGGTTCCGGTTGGTTCCGGTTTTCCGGGTTAAAGACATCACCCTGCAGCCCCGAGAGACCCCCACAAGTCCCTATGAAAGCTCCACGCGCCGCAACTTTGGTCCCCTACTCCACACTTTCTCAAGATTTTTCTTTCAGGAGGATGTTGAGGTGTATAGTAGGATGTATGTAGGATGTATAGCTTTTCTACTCTGGATTCAGGTCATTTCATCTCCCCACATGTACTGGTGGAGGTGCTGTTGCACAGACGCGGGGATAGTGACGGAGGCCTGGGGGGAGACTCTTTCTGGATAAGGCTTAGACCATTTCAATGAAGGTTCGGTTTGGTTGTTGGAGTTTGGACATGGTTCTGGGTTTAGTGGAGTAGGGTTAAGGTTTTCAGCTGTGCAATGCGCTAGGAGTGGTTGCTCACTCAGGCTCAAAATCAGTCGACACCTCAACCTCCAAGTCGGCCCAGAGCAGTTGAGGACGGAAGATTATGGCCCAATTCTGGCATCTGATAAACATGCTATGATGGGCTCATATATGGTCTCATTCTCAACTAATCTCGCTTTGAGTGGCCCCAGTGGCCTCCCAAGTGAAGCGCCAGAAGCCCCCATACACCATCACCTGCTCAGCGAACATCGAGGTAAACTGGGGGTTCCTGACTTGCAGGCATGGGCTGCCTGGGTGATCTCCACCGGTCAGGCGCAGAACGGGAAGCCTGCGTTCTATGATCTCGAGACATGTGAATTTTCGAGGGCACTCGAGAGTTATGGAGAATCCGACTCAAGCCGCTCTCCAGGCACGGGACGAGCGCGCCCTGCGGAAGCAGCTCGATGAGGGTGCTGCGCGCCGCGAGCGGATCCGACGCCCGGGACCCTAGGAGCCCGTAGAATGGACGAGCTCTCGTGGCTCTAATGTAAGCGTTGCATATTTAAATGGGGTGGTAAAAGTAATATTCGCCGGGCCAGAGGGCCCCGGCCTAAGACTACTTTCCAGTACGGGAGGTTTTACGGCTGATGTGTGTAAACAAGCTCATACACAGGCGACAATTGCAAAATTTAGTTGGCCAGGAATCGAAAATGTTGCTGAAGATTGCTTAAGAGTTCCAGTGCAGAGAAGACTTTTCAGCTGAGCTGGCTTGCCAGAGCTTGAGTCTTTAGAGAAGCAGATCTCGTTTGAGATTGCTGCAGCTCCAGAGCTGAGAGAAACAGCTCCTTCCGGCTTGGCAAGCAAGTGTCGTTTGAGATTGCTGCAGCTCCAGAGGCTGAGACAGATAACCTTGCGACAGAAGCCCCTGCTCTCAGGGAAGCACAGAGGCCGCGGAAGGCCTACGTTGAGCTGCCCCAGAAAAGTAGCGGAACCCATGTGCTGCAGACTGCACAGAGACGGACGCTCAAGCCCTGCAGCAGAAGCGTCAGCCGGTTTGAGGCTCAAGCGAAGAATCCCTTGAGCTTGAGACTTCAGCCTCCGGGTCCTGGAATTCTCAAAGCAAGGTTTCCTTGCTTAAATCCTTATCCGCCGGGGCTCTTGTCTCTGCGCATGCCTGCGCTGTTACACCCCCCATAGTGTTGGGTTGTTTTCGCGCCTCAGAAGTTGGGTAGGAGCTGCTTCGCAGAGTTCCGCAAGGGCGCATACGCACGCGCTTGCTTGTGCCAGGGGATGCCTACGAGCATGTCTTGTTACGTGTTGCGCTCCCCTGTGTGTGCTTTTGTCATCGCACCGCCCTCGGAAGACGGGAGGGTATATGCATGCTTGCATACGCGAGCCGCGTTGTATACAGGGTCCTGCCAAGCGGATCTGTTTGCATCTTGGTCTTGTGTCAATTCGGGAGCTGGCCAGGTCCTCAGCCCTCACAAGTAGGAGCCTGGTTCCATTTTGGGGCTCGAAAACAAATCCGGAAAGGGTACCCTTTAATTACGGGCCTCCAAAGTGACAATAATAAAGGGGTGGCAATAGTAGTTAAAAAAACTGCCTCTAAGGCTTAAGATAAGAATCCTTAAAGCTTGAGACTTCAGTTTTCGGGTCCTGGTCTCAGGCTTAAGAGAACCTTTGAAAACAAACCAAAGCAGATCCTTCTTGACAGCTGACCCCCCCAAGACCCCCAGACCCCAGACCCCCAGGCCACGCTAAAATTCCCAGAAACCAAAGCAATATCTGGGGGGGGGGTTATTAAAGTAACCCGAACATTGCAGGGGAAACGCGTTTTTGTTTCCTCATGTTTTTTTTCACGCCTTGAGGAGCACAGGGCTATTGGATGTGTGGGAAGACGTGGTGTCATTGCCGCTCCGGGTTGGGGACTGCTCTAGGAGACGCTGCAGGGTTGTTGTGTAGGTTTTTCGGTTTTTTTTACAACAGCCGACAGCATGCTTTGGTGCCGATTTCGCCCCTTGAGTCTCTCCGACGTCTCTCCGACGTCTCTCCGAATAAGGGAGCAATCCCCCCGACTCAAAAACCCCACCGCCCTCACCCGGCTTCTGTGTAGGGCTTCGGACCTTGGGACATCTCGGGTTCAAAGGGTCCGGTGCCCTCTTAACGGTACTTCGGGCGGGTCAATATGGGTCAACGGAAACCTTGGGCTCAGCCAAGTCGTTTTTTCTTGCCCTCGGGGTGGGGTTGTTTTAGATTTTGCAACATTCACCCCATACTCCTGCATGCTCCTCGCCCTCCCGACCAAAGAATCCTGCGGAGTGACCTGCCCGAGTCCTGGTGCATTGACCCGGACTCCCAGAGCAACCGTGACAGACGTGTCAGAATCGAGCCCCTGCTCGCGTCTCGGAGGCCGGAGCAAAGAATCTGGCCACAAGATTTCCGAGAAGCTGAGGCGGGGCATTGAAACCTCAAAACCTCTCAACTCTCCCTCTGGAGCCCTACTGGAGCCTTACTGAAAGCCGTAGCTGGCCATTGTCGACTGCTGCTTCCAACCACAGAGACCTCCGGAAGGCCCAGGCTCCCCGAGTGCCCTTGAACTCCCACTACGGCTGTAGGTGACGACATGGCAGATCTTTCTGCTGTGCTTGGTCGCTGTCGTCCGTTTCAGTTAGGGTGCTCGCCAGGGCTTCTTCAAACGCACCCGGGACTTGGCAACGCTCAGGTGTGCAATGTACAAGGGCTTACTGCAGGTTTTGTGACAATTTCCAAACCTTAAATCAAGAGCTTCTGTTGAAACGCGTCCGCAGCCGCTCCAAGACGAGTCAGACGCCATTAGTGTCGCTTTCGCTGTCCAGAAGCCGCTGGTCTCCGTGTCTGCAAAGCTTTCCGCTCACGGTTTCGGGTGCTGCAGGTAGGGAGGTAGATCATGTCTATGCGGCGTGGTGTGAAGGTGACCGGTGGAATTTGTGGCCATATTCCGGATCCAGGGCAGAGCAGATGATCTGATGTTCGTAGCATGCGAAAGTGCACAGGCTTTCGTGGTAAGACCGTACTACCTACGAAGCCGCAGTGAACAATGTTGTGCCACAGCACAGAGCGACACCCTTGTAAATCAGCCCCGTCTTTGTCATTCCGTCGGGTCTCAGGGGCTGGGGAACTTTTCGGACTAAGGAATCATGGCCAGCTTTGCTCCTTTCGACATGGAGGCCCAGCTACTTGACAGCACAGGGTCCCGGGTGAGCGTCGAGGTTTATCAGCTGAAAGCTATGAAGCTGAGCTTGAATTCAGAAAGTGGAAGTTGCATCACCACGGGCTCAGTGGCAAAATCCAAGGGGGAGATACCCAGACTTCCAGGGCATCGGCGAGAAGCAGGCAGGTTGTTTCTTTTGCACCGGGGATTCCGCAGCACATGCGATTTGTGGGAAATCTGGCATTTGGAGGGCCAGTGATTCCTGGCTGAAAGGCCACTTGGGGCTTCAATCTTGAAGAGCCTCCAAGGTTGCAAGATATGTCCCATCATCCGACTCGTTGCCAGTAGGTTGTAGTTGGAGTTCAGCTTCGGGTCTTGCCAGAGTCTCGGCTCGGTATGCTCAACCCAACCCAACGGCTCAAGTAGCTTCCCGAAGCATTCAACCACGCCCCCGAGCCCACGAGCCCATCTCCCTGTTTTCGGCCAACTTCGGAAGTTGGCCTTTTCTGGCCCCGCCTATTCATTGCCTACAAAAGGCGGCGCGGGAATGCCAAAGGCTCAGGGCTTTTTCGTATACTGGAATTCATGTGGATCTCAAGAATTCACGGCCAGATGCGCCTGGGCTTCATCCGGAAGGTCTACGGGATCGTTGCTTGCATCCCGGCCTGCAGAAGACACTTTGCACCCCGAAGCCCCAATTGGCACAGAGGTTCAGAGTCTGCAAGGAGGTCTGAAGGTTGCAAGAGTTCAACGGTAGGTAGTTGCCGAAGCCCCCCAAAACGTAAACTCCTCGAGCGCGGAGAGGAGATCCCCAGTTAAGCATCTTCGATGCACTGGGGGCTATTGGGGTCTTTTTCCGTCTTTCAACACGAATCCGCTGTCACGCCTTTTTACCGCTACCCCCTCACCACGCCTCATTTTGAGAATCTCCCTTCAAGGCCCTGTCGTTGTGGATCCCGCCATAGAGAAGTCTGAGGAGGGGGGGGGAGAGGGAACTTGGGGGAACGTCGTCCCCGAAAGGCCAAGTGGCCGCCACAGCCCTCACGGCCGCCTTATGCGCGGGCCCACTTCGCCCCACCATCGTCGGTCACGAAGCAGCACAGATCTGTGTTTTGGGAGTCATTTTGTTTGAAGCTTTCGCAGATGCAGTTTGTGTAAAGAGGTTCAGGGCGTTCGAATCCCCGAAGTCCTTGCTCTCAGCAGGTGGTCAGGCTGGGGCCATTGAAATTTGCGGTCAAGCCCTGGTACCTAAAGTACAAATCCTGAACTTTAAACGCTACATGGCCTCAGCGCACCTGCACAAATCTCTACTCCTAGCACAGTTCGTTTGGTTTGACGAGTGTCCAGCTTGTCGGCAGCATCCAGTTGCCAAATCGGATCTTTACACTCGTGGCAGGCTTCGTTGTGCACTGGCCCTCTGCATTCAAGTGGGGATCTCTGCCTCTTGGCACCGTTAGTCAGCACGCAGTGCCCGGACCCCACTGAGGGCTCTCGCCCCACTTTCGAACCGCCTTTTGAACCGTTGCTCATTTCACGGCAGCCTGCCGGATGCTTTTGGCCCACGGCGCCCACCTCGAAACAGCCATTTGCTTTTCTCGGAGGAAGGTTGGAGTTGAGCACGGCTGAGTTTCCCAGTCTGGCACTCTTGTAGATTCTTTTGAGCTCCCGCTTGACCGCCCCAGAGAGAAGCTTCGAAGTGGAAAATTGGCTTGCTTAGCAGCCTTTTGCCCGCCGTGAGGTTGGCTACTGGCTTGGCCCTGTTCATCTGCTATGCCGGCAAGCCCCTTTGGCTGGAACGCCGGCTTTGAGGCTGTTGATCTCTTGACTGGGCTGATCTAGCAGAATCTGGAGCTGAGATTGAGATTGTTGAGCACCGACTCTGGCCCCAGTCTCCGTAAGCAAGCTCCTTGCCACAACGAGACTCAACGCCCCCAAAGACATCCTAGAGCTCCGTAAAGAGTCCCGAACAACTCCACACAGCCCAAATCCTGAAACTCTGGGTATCTTTCTATATCGGTACCATCTGGTAGTACCATCCCCAAAGCCTTGGCCAGCCCTCCTCCCTCCCCCCGCCATAGGAACTCTTACCCCTTGAACTTCTTCGGCCTCGCCTTTCTGACTGCTGTTCCTCGGCTGGTGTCAGGGCTGGCGAACGTGGGGCAAACGCTTCGAGATTTCAGGCTGAATCCTCCACAACCACTGTTCAACCACTTCCTCTTTCTTGATGATGTGAAAATGACAATGATTGGTCCAGACGAGACGAAGGAACAGCAAGAGTTTTTCTCACGAGCTCTGCATTTCAGAACTACTGGGAGCATCTGTGGGGCCATCTGAGACTCCGCAGGCTCGAAGCACAAGCTCTTGCGAGCCAAAATTAGCAGTGGTTTGGTACTTATATCATCACTCCGAAACCACGGTGCCTCGTTGTGAGTCCCCCTATCCTTCTCTCTGTGTCTCTGTGTGTGGGTGTGGTTTCTTTGGTAGCTCCACGCCTCGCCTCCCAGCCTGCATTGTACTTACATTGCTCGGAGGGGGCTTTCACTGTGCTCCGTCTTGGCTTTCCGAGCTTTGCAGCCTTTTGCAGTCTTGCTTTCAAGCTGATCCGTGGGGGCCGCGGTTATAGCTTGCCATATCTTGCCATAGGTTCCGGGGTTTACCTCAAAGCGTGGTGAGGCACCTCACGCCCTAGGCCCTCGGCTTGGCTCCAAATCCTCTGCGAAGGTTATGTCCCTGGACGTCGGCGTGATGGCTGCCGTCGCTAGTGCCATGGGGACGGCTGGGGTGGCTTGGGGGCGGGTGGGTGGCTTGGGTGGCCGTGGGGGTGGGGGTGGGGGAGGCAGAGGGGCAGAGCAGACTGTCGTCGTGATGACTGATACGTTGTAAGAAGGTCTTACTGGTACTTGCATGGTAGTCACGGTATATCCTCGGCGTATATCCTTTCTTGGGCTACACTGTGCAGCTCAGTCGGAGACACAGTGAAAGCCCCGAGGCACCCCTTGACACCACCGTATCTCCACAACTGCCACAACTCCCTGGAGGATGGGAGCCTTGGTGGCACAGGCCGCGATCATCACCGCACTTCTGGTGACAGGAGCTGTCAGTCCTTGGCGTGCAGTGCTGGCCCCGGTTTGGTGGCGTTTGGGGTTTTGTTCCGGCTTGAGAACTGGCATTCGGGATATATGGTTGATCAAATCCAGTTTCGATCAGCCGTTTTGGGTGATGGGCTTTGGGGTGCCGTATCTCAGTGTGTTGTCAGTGAGTCAGGCTATCTCATGCTATCTCCATCCTTGGATGCTTCACCTGACTGCTATCTGGGATGTTTCAACGAACCCCAGCAACCGATACAGTGCTCCTGATCCGCGCCCGCGCCGCTCCCACAGCCAGTCAGAAGCGGAGTTCAACGTAAAGGCCACAAGTAAGGCTCGGAAGGCTCAGAAGCCGAGCGCGGAGGGTGTCTCCAAAGACTCCAGGGATGGCCTCTTGAAGATTCTGAAGATTCTTGAAGTTTGCAGAGAAGGTACTTGGGATGGGCCAGGAGGTTCAGGTTCACCCCTCCGTAAGCATCAAGTTTTGCCCTCCTTTCTCAACCTCATCTGAAGGACTCACGATCTACACCTTCCGCTCCAAGCGCGACTTCTCTTTCCTTGGTGCGGCCGCTTTGACCGGATGCTGGGGATCACGGCAGGGGAGGATTTCAAGCATGAAGATGTCCGAAGGGACCAAGCCCTCCCCACTACGTCACTAGGTTGTTCTCGTTGCGACCGACAAGCGCGGCTCAGATCAGCACCCGGTCAAGGATGAAGACACGGATGTTGAGGGGCCCATGTATGGAAAGAACACCATGTACAAATTGTGTACTTTTCTCAAGGAAGTCCAGTCCATATCAACAATCCCCGACCACGAACAAGGCGCAAGGCCAGCCCAAAGCCCCTCAGAGCCGACACCGAAGGCTCTGTGGCCGCTGACCTTCGGCCTCTTTGCCTTCGGTCTGCTGAGCTTCCTGAAAAGCAGATGAAAGCAGAGGGCTCTAGGGGAAGGCGCTCTCTGAGGGGGACTTTGGGGACTTTGGGCTCTCCTTGTCTCGGTTTGCAGAGAGCCCACTCGGCGATTCTAGCCATTTTTCATCATTTTTCGTTCTGTCTATGGACCCTAAGCCTGAGAGCCTATGGGTTAGATTCATAGAATTTCGGGAGCAGCTCCGCAAGCTCGATCTTTCCGAGCCCTTCGCGAGCTCGAGCATACGGCTGAGTGCTTAGGAGCCTAAGAAGATCCAAGTGCTGCCGTGCACCCTGCCTTAAGTGCCTTCAGTCTCCACTCCAGATGCCAAGTCTTCAAAGGCTTCAATGTAAATTACACGTGCAGTTGATGTTATTACCCCTGTGCCTCCCCCGAACCCTGGTCTAAGTGCCTATAGTCACGGATGTCACGAAAGCACGAAAGCTCCTTCGGAGCTTGCGGGAGTTCTTGTTTACCTCTTTGTTGTTGGGACAAACAGCACTCAAGGGTCTTAATCTCCGATCGGAGGAGGTTTAAGGTGAAGGAGGACCCCCTCCCCCCTCCCCTAGATCCCCCATTGTTAACCAACATTTTGGCGATTTTTGTAATCGCTGTTGCAGTGCAAGTGTCTCCTGCATGAGCTTGCGTTGTTTGATCTCCGAACTGCAGAACCGGTTTGCATGACAGCAAGCAAACGAAGGGTGTACTAGACGAGCTTGCTTTGTGAGAAGTCAGATGATGTTTTCTATGTATGAACTCTTTCGTGCACATGAAGACTACACGCATGCATCGAACCAACTCTGTCAATATGAGCTTGCATTGCACGCTGCAAGACAGTGAAGAGTATCCTGGAAGAGCTTGCCTTGTGTGATCTCCAACTGCCAACTGACGGGAGTGCCCAAGGCTGAGCCTTGGAGGATGGGGGACTCAGGGCGTGTCGCCCGTGTAAGCTTTGGTGTCTGTGGTATGTAGGTAGCGTTAGCAGGCGACATTGAGGGGCTTTACGTATGGCATGACCAAGGCTGCTTCTTCCCATCCCTGCACACGGGCATCCTCGGCCTGATCGTCTCCTTCGCAGGCTCTCCAAGCATGTCCAAACTCCAAACCACGGGAGGGCGGAGTGACGGCGGTAACGGTGCCGAAAAGCTGGAGCTCGGCTTATGGTGTGTGTTTGTCGCTTGAGTCTGTTGTTAAAGTGGGCTTTCGTCTTTTGTTGGCCAGCGCAGTCTTACGTAGGGTTGGATGTGTCTGTGAATCGAGACTGGAGCTTCGCCTTTCGGGCAGCTTCGGGTTTAGGATGTTGGTTAAGTTTGAAGAGTAGTTGTGAACAGTCGAACCGGACGAGTAGCGTGGGCACAGGCTCGGGACGAGTTCCTTCGGAAGCTCTGCTGATACTGCTGCCAGCTGAGCCAGCTGAGCCCAGCACCAGACGCCAGGTGCCGCCATCTTCTGCGCGTACCTGGTCTACGACACCTGGCGCATCGCCAACGAGCTCCAGGCCAGAACCCTGAGCGAAAAGTGACAACTTTGCCTGAGTAGTATGGCAGACTAGCTGGCACAGTAGCTGGCGTAGCAAGATCCAACGCTTGGAGACTCTGTGTTTGGATAGAGCGTTCGGACCTAGAGGTGGACTCGTCTCGGGGGTTCAGATCTCTAGGGCATGATTCCTGCGGGACACAAGACACGGCTAAAAAATGATGTCCTTGAGTTCTCTTTTGTTCTCAGCATGTAGATCCTATGTGGGATGTAAGCCGAGGTGGATGACTATGTGGAGGGCGCCATCCAGCATCTTGGAGAGTTTACGTTTCAGAGTTCAGGTCTGGCGCAGAAGTTTCGGCGGTTATACCAGCATTTCAGTTTTTTTGGCAAGGGCTTGACGGCGCTCTTGCGTGCGCACCCTCCTGAAAGGGTGCTTGCAGAGTGATCCCTGGTTCTGCACCCCCTCAAAGATGTTCACAAAATCTACAGCGCCAGGTTTGCTTGCCATGCCCACGGCTCCCTAAATCCAGAAAGCTCGGGCTTGGGGCTGGGAATTCATGAGCTTGTGGGCAGTGGGCAGGGGCCTAGGGTTGTGTTAGGGGGGCCCTGGAAGGTCCAAACTTGGGGTCCTAAACCGCATTTAAGGGTCTGGATTGGCGGTCCTTAGGTGCCGTAGAAATGAACGGTTCCTACGGAACCTCCAAAAGTAACGACCAAGGCATCTGAGGCGAATTTTAGGGAGTGGGGCGGCACGTTGGGCTCCAGGAGTTCAGGCATGTGCTCATGTGGCTCCACACGGGCTTAGAGAACGAGGCGTGAGCTTTTAGGCGCGCAGCATTCGCAGCCTTGGGGAAGCTGGGGCAGCTGAGGCTGTACATGGACATCATCAACCTCTTCATGTACATCCTTGACATCCTAATGCAGCTCAACAAAGGGCAGAACGAGTGAGCAGGGGGGCGCCTTGCGAGAAGCAGGCGGTGCAAGTTTTCCTGATACTGCAGTCGTTTGAGCGGTTGGCACCACCGGAGCCTCAAAATCTTAGACGTCCGAGCTCTTAAAGAGCCCTCCAGAAACCCACACCGCCCCCGCATGTATCCGCATGTCACATGAAATCGCGTTGAGTGAGCGGCCCCTGGTTGCAGCAGTCCTGGTTTTTGTCGGAATGTGTAGGCCCAAGCGTCCAACCTGAAATCCTTCGGCAAATTCGCGTAGATTCGGCGTAGACGGAGTGGGCAGAAGCACTCAGGGGGGATCATCTTGTCGATGCCCCGGACTCCTGGGTTGGGACAAGTTCAGGGCAGAAGATTCGAGGGTTCGTTTCAGTGCAGAAGCATTCACACCCTGGCGTTTTCAGGAAGCGAAGCGGTGGCGAGGATCAGTTCGACACGGGGTTCGTAGCCGCGTTCGTTTACGCTTAAAGAGTCCATTATACGGGCCATGCCATCACCTTAACCTCGCCTCGGTAGCAGTTGTCGTATTCACGTGGGGATCGCATTTTGGTCGTCGGTTCCTCCTGCAGCTTTTGTGCATGCTGCCCTTGTACAGTCTGCACCAGTTGCGTCCACACAGTGCACGGTGCAGTACAGTTCTGCCAGGCTATGTTAAACAGAGAGTTAGTTGCACTTGCTTTTAAAGTCATTTGTAGCCTGCAGCGCGACGCTGCCACGGCAGTCGTTGCCTGCTGCAGCAGTGCTGTCCGCTTTGCAAAGGCGATGTTGGCAGACTAGTGTGGCTTCCTGTCGCGAAGGAGTGTGCAGCATTGTTGCAGGTACTCTCCGTACCAGACCCGTACCCCGCAGAGCAGGGAGCAAGGCAGACAAAGGCAGAGCGGCAGCGCGATGACTTAGAATAGTCATGAATATGTCAGAGTATGTCAGGATAGTCAGCATCCTCCGGCCAAGGCCCAAAAGGGCCAAACCTCCCCCAGACCTTCGCTGAACTCCCGCTAGACTCTCCGCTAAGCCCATCGCAGTGACCTGGGGAGTTGTGGGGAACAGCTGCTGGTACGCGGGGAAAGGCGATCATGGTCTGGGTGGACCGGAGTGCTGTCGAGTTGTCTCAACAAGGTTGGTCGAGGGGGGCTTCTCTCTAAGAAGGGGGGTCCCGTTTCGGGGTTCCCTTCACAATGCGGAGCCTTCTACTAGGGGTGGCCGCGATTTAGAGAACTTCACGATGCTCAGCTGAGAGACCTCAATTCGCGCCTTGTGCGTGGTCCAGGGGACAGCGCGACGTCACCGCACTCCTAGAGGCCCTGACTTGGTGGGGGGGGTCAGGGTTTACGGTGAAAGTTTAGGGTTTAGGATTTTGGGACTTCAAGGCGGCTTACGGGGGGCACAGGCTTCTCGCTCTCAGCACCTCTACGACTTTACAGCTGGCGGTGTGGGGTCGGTTTAGGGTTTAGTGTTTAGGGTTTAGGGGTCTTCCCAAGTTCAAGACCATCAGCTCCAGCCTTTCATTCTGGAACGCAGTGAACTTTACATTGAATTCAGTCTTAGCCAGTTTGTTGAGGCTTTTGGGGGCGAAGTGTAACATGGACATGACTTGGTCGGACGATTGGCTCTGTGGTGTTCTACTTCCATGAGTCCTACTCGGCCAGACACAAAACCGCACCCTTCAATAGTTAAACGCCCTCCGAAACCTGTAACGCCCTGAGTGTTGGACCCAGGCAAACCTCAGAAGTTTCTTGAATTTCGGAGTCACTAACGTCGTCACAAACTTCCCGAATGACCCAGAACCCTCCCAAAACTCCGCGGCGAAAAAAAGGCCCGCTCTCAGTTGCCCCGACGCCCTGCAGGTGCTGGTGGCGTGGAGGTTACACTCGCGCGTGGAAGGAAAGACAAGGCCCTGCTGGGTCCAGAAGGTCGAGTGTGATTTACAGGTGCCCGTTAACATCCTCAAGCTCCAAAAAACTCTCAACAGAACTCAACCTTGGGCCGCTGAGACGTTAGGATCACGTGTAGCTTGAACGTAGAGTTTATGTAGCTTACTAGGACTGAAGTAGGTTTCCAAGTTCATCAGTAAACAGCTCAGATAGTCGGGTGCGTTTTGTCGGTTCTTGCTTGCGGGAATCTTGGATAGAAGAGCTTTAAAGTTTGCAGATCTGCAGCACGCAAGGCAGGCACAAGCAAGGTTGCAAAAGTATTCCGAATAGCAAGTGCGTCGCTCATGCATGATCATGCATGACTCATAGCTGCAAGGACGATGTTAGCGTTTCATTCACTTCTTCTCACTTCACTTGTAGTCAGTTTTAGTCGTCGAGATATACGAATGAAGTTACCCTGAAAATGGCTTTTCATGCGACTTCACTTCATTTCTTTCAGGTCGTGAAGTCCCTAGCCTGGGCAGTGGAAAGTCATGCATCACGAGTTGAATGTAATTGGATTTTACTCCATGCTTTTTTCTGACCACGTAGGGTACCACAGTTCATGGATCATCTCCTTCTTAGCTGCATCTGCTAGGTGTAGGCAAGCTCTCACTTTGATGTTGGTGCCATTGGCCGGGGTCCATGTGGTTGAGGGAAGGCTGTGCAGGATGTTCGGGTTTCATGGGGGGATGTGGGAAGTCACCGTGTGACGAGGGGGTTTGGACAGTGTAGGATTTCGGCTTGGCAAATGCTTGCCCCCTTCGAGTGAACAATCAACACACTCTAATCCAAGCAGCCAGAAGCCGAACCCTGAAACAAACTGAAAGAACTTCCAGCTGTCAGGCACCATCGCGTCCGCGTCGATGCGAAACGTGTCGCGCCCAAGAGTCTAACGCTGCTGTCACGCCTCGCTCTCTCTCTCTCTCTCTCCCTCTCTCTCTCTCACCCTCAACACGGCCTAGTAAGCCAGTAAGCCGGCCCTAACCAAACCATTAACAACGTCATCGACATGCAGTACTTGCAGACATCCCCAGACCAGTAAGAATCATCATGAAGTTCGTCTTGGGCCTTGTCAAACCCCTTGTCTGGAGAGTGACCAGCGCCGAACCTCCTCCCCCCGCAACAAACACAACAGCAAACATTATTAGCTGCATGTGGTGAGAACAAAGACGATATTATTGATACAAATGCGGATAGTGATGTTGATGAAGATTGCAAGAATGAGAATGACACCCGGGCCCACACAAAAGCCGAAGAGCACTGGAGGCCAGCAGCTCCAGGGAGTTCAAACCATGCCCGGCTGCCAATGGGCTGGGGAGTCCTCTTGTTGTGGGGCTTTGGGAACTAGTTTGAAGAGTGGTTTCCTTGTTTTGTTGAATACGCGTGGCCGTCTTGAGATTTGGTGGCTAGTGACTCACGCCTTCAGCCACCTGAAAGCCTTTAGCCCATGACATCCCATGACCCTAAACCATACCCGACATCCCGAAAGACGGAGGTTCCGGAGCTTCGCCACACAGCTAGAGTGCCAGCTGACACAGAGCCGGGCTCTTGAAATGATGAGTTGAGGTTTCGGGCCTCGGCGACGGGTGGGCTTCGAGACTTCTGGCTCAGTCTTCACATCCTTCAGTGGGTGGTGGGTGGCGGACGGGGGGGGGGGGGGGGGGGGGGGGCAGGTACTCCCATCACACGACTTCAGAATCCGGTTCCCACTGTCCTGCGGAGATGTTCTTTAGCCTATGCAAAGCCGTGGCCGGATGAGTGCCCACCTTGCGTGTCAGTTTAGACAGTCACAGCTCTGTGAGCGACCGCAGTGCCATTTGGAGACTTCGATTATGCCCCTTGAGCTCTGTTTCAAGATGCTGTTTTACACTCGCCATGTTTCCTGCTGAAGCAGACCCACTTCTGTCACCTTCAATCCCACCAAGCCCTAATGCCCTGAAATAGGCCCCCCAAAACACATAAGACGAGCTCTTACCCCCACTGCCCCCTCGGCCAATCACTTGCAATTGGCCTCCAAGCTTCGGATAGGGGAGTTGTGCTCTATGAGTATGTCCCCAAGAAGATGCAGTTCACAAGGCCAAAAGAATGTCCACATCTCACGCAGCGAGAGAGGGCTCCAGGGCTCGAGAGCTGAGCTTGTGGACGACGGAAGCTCTCAATGAAGCTCCTTCTCTTGGCCCCCAAGACTAATAATCACATGGTCCGAGGCCAACCAAGCCAGAAAGACGGTCGCCTGTACAAGCCGCTGTCCGAGGGGATGGGATTTTAAGGGAAAGGTTTCGTGAGCGAGTGCTGACGTTTAGTCGCAGCTTAGGTGACGAACGGCAGCGTATTTGTTGAAACTCCCGTTCGTCTGGAGACACACCGCCAGAATCCAGAAGGGTCACAATGCTCATGCGCCGGCCACATCCGGCCACCAAACAAAATTGACACTCCCTCTGAGACACGGTAAGAGGTGTATCGTCGTGTTGGGGTTTTGGGCTTTCAGCTGCTGCTCCATGACTCAAGCCCCAGGTCTCGCAGTGTGGAGCTGGGCATGTCAGACGTACCCTGGCGACCTGCCGCACCCTTGGGCCCTTGGATGATATGTGCTCATGCGGGCTTAGCTCTTCAGAAGAGGCAAAAGGCACAGTGTCACAGTACACCATGCCTTGGTGAGGGGGTTGCCGTGCTTGCGATCGGACAAGCACAGGCAGAACCTGCCCAACCAAAGGTACCTGAGCCAGCCTATGAAAGGCTTGTAGAAAAAATATGTCATATCACGACGCCCGGCGTATCCTTGTGAAGAATCACTCGTACGGTCGCCTGAACCCTACAATCCTAGTCTCCAAAATTTCCCGAGCAGAGTTTTGAGTCCCAGCCCACCTCCCACCCAAGGAAAGAAAAACAAGAACACGGAACCCACAAAAACAAAAGCTCTCTCAGGCACCTGGCCGACGCAATGGTGGCAGGCGCAGCTTTCCAGGTGTCTGAGGCTGACAGGGTGTTTTTGCGTGATGAAGTTGCGCAAAGACACCGGGGGGCCTTCGGGGGGGGGGGGGGATGTCAGAGTTTCTCCGGGCGTTTGGCGTAAAGTCCGCGGAGGGGGGGGGGGGGGGGGGGCAACCTTCAAAGATGTCCTCTCTACAGAAGGTGTTCGGTTCGGAACCTCCTGTAAATCTGTAAGTTTGGCTCTTAAACTTATAAACTTAAAGAGAAGTTTCTTTAAGTCATACCTTGAAAAGTAAGAATAAACTTTTACGAGAGAGAATCTCATAGAGCATTGCTTTTCGCGCATGCACGGAGAGCATGGACAGGGAGCACGGAAAGTAGAGTGTGTTTGCAGTCTTGTTCACAAGCCGCGCGATCCTCCATCCTCCCACCCTCGACCTTCGACGTCGTTGAGATTCAAAGCCGCCTCGAGCCCTCCTACTGAGGTCAATAGAGTGATGAAACCCAACACAGCCTCTAAAGAGACTAGACTGAGGGACCCCACGAGCTGTTTCACAAAACGCTGTTTGCAAGCGCACGGCAGGAATAGAGGCGATGGCGGAACAGCAGGCCAAACCGGTATAAGTCCAACGTTTTGCAGGCTTCAGCGCTTCAGCAATCTGGAGTTATGTAGTGTGGAAGAAAGCGAGCACTTCACAATTGCTTGCCACTTCCTGTGCCGCTTCGATGGGCCGATGAGGATACAGAATTCGAAGCTGTGGGCCCCCCATGCGGCACAGCAATTTGCCCAACTCCCCGGTAGCACCAGGCACTGAGGCCGAACACTGAACCATGGGAGCCACTCCCTGAAAGACCCCCTGGGTCATGATCCTATGGCCGCCGCCCCGCAGATGCAGCAAACCCTCAAGCTTTCTGTCAACCTTCCGGCAAACTGCAAGGTCCCCGAACCTCGCTGAATTCGCTGAATCCCCTGTTCGCATTCGCAAATTGAAGCAACGTCCCTGGCGCCGATCCGCAGCAGCTCAGGCACGGACGGATGAGGACCGCTTGGGTGTTCGCTGGTTTTGCGTTTCACTTCTTGAGAAGGTTCTGGGAACGTGTTTCCGTTACTCAGGGATTTGAACTTGGGATGCAGTGACGGGTCGAGGATGAACCTACTTTGAGCTTGGGGTCAGGCGGCGGCTAGTGCGTGTGGGTTTGTGATTGTCTGCTGTTGGCAGGGAGTTGCCGTTAGGAGTGATGTGCAGGCCGGTTAGGTTCTTTGCAGCCCATATCGAGTGCTAGGCCGCTAGGCATGTCTACCCATGCTAAGCTGTGGAAGCTGCCCGCGACAGGCGCTTTGCGACGCAATGGTGATTGTTTTTTCGGTGCCTCCGGAAGCACGGCGCCTCAGCAAGTTTCACCCTCGTAGGAAGCGCAAAGACTGTGCTCTATTATCGGGTTCAAGGATGCCGGCGGGAGGATACTCTGGCGACCTTCCGAGCAAATTTAGCGCTTAGAGCCGGAACTTATAGGTGTAAAAGCTGAGATTTGTTGAGGGCGCTTTGCCCTCGTCCTCGCAATCCTGTGACCCCCCCCAAAAAAAGAGGAGACGCCCATCGAAACAGGCGGGCCATGCGAATCGGCTCCAGAGGAACGACCTCGCGAGAGCGATGCGAAAAGAATCGAGAAAGGACGACCGGTTTTGGAGGGCAATTTCGTAGACTGTAACCAATATCGTAACTCAAAGCTGCTCCAAGTCTAAATTGTGCCCAGTGCAGTTTGGAAGCTCTCATGACGTCTCCTGTCACTGTCACTGGGACACCGCACCACACACCAGAGATTGTGGGCATTCGTTGCGTAGTGGCGTTTATCAGGGCTACGGTTGCAGTGATGGCTCAGGAACCTCAAGAAGTCTATTGTAACCCTAAACCCAAACCGAGGATTGATCTGGGACGTGAACAACATAGTGGTTTCCCGCATTATCACAAGTTCACAACCTCCTACTGCTTACGCCCTCTGATGTCGGCTGTTGCCGATGCGCTGGATGCAAAAGTGGTGCCAGGGCTCCGCGAATGGGTGACTCTCGCCAGCGGCTTCGGATGGTTTGTCTCTTCAGCCGGAGTTTTCAATTTTGACAAAGTTTACATATATTCAGATGATTTACAGCTTGTTTGGTCACCATGCCACCAAGGACGGTCATCTTGGGCAGCCTAGTGACCTGGATCCAAGGGAGTTCTAGGAGAGAGGTTCCATGAGGCTCCTTTTCTGTGCCGTTCTTGGAGGCCTTTCAGGTTTGCATGATTAAATTTCAAGCCTGCCCCGCGGATGTGCCCCACGGATGCCTTAGCCTCGGGATCAGCACTCTTTCTACACTATCCCAGATCTTCAACCCGCCCAGCCCAATCCAAATTACAACTCATTCCGACGCCAGCCGAAGTCAGGTGACCTTCTTCTTCACCTTCTTCTTCTACGGCTGGGCATCCTTGCAAGCACTTCTAGAGGCTGATGGCGTGCTCCTTAGCAGCTTTTAGTACAGTGAGTCGGGGCAAGGTGGGTTCAAAGCTTAGGGCCTTGAGGGCTTTGCGATATGCTTTGCGATATGCTTTGCGATATGCTTTGCAATGCTTTGCGAAATGCTTTCCATTTTTGTTGGAAGTTCTGATAGAGAGTGGTTGGCGATTGTATGTAGCCATTGCTGTTTCGTTCGAACCAGCAAGGTATTTGGCCGTGTGCGCCCCGGAGGAGCGAGCGCGTCCTTGCAGGTATGTGAGAGGGTTCGGTAGGATTTGGAGAGTTTCGCGGCGGGTGGGGAGTGAAACTGCTGATGATTTTTCCGAGCCTTGTGGATCAGAGTAGGATGTGTGCCGTGCCCCAGACTCCCCTTTCAAGCCGTGGAGTGCGATTTCGGTGAAGTGAGGAGCCGCTGTGCGCGGAACGCACAAGCCGCATGATTCTGCTATACACGGTGGACAACCTTGCCACCTGGATGCGAAGAATAATGATTCCGCGTCTAACTTATTTTTGGCATGTTCTCAATTAAATGTCATGACGTGGCTGCTCTTGTCGTTTACTGTGGAGCCTTCTTGGGGGGGGGGGTCTCTCCTTCTCGAAACGCCCAGGTCACCGTGGTCAACTCAGCTGTCATGGCCATGGCCGTGGATCGAGTTGGTCCGGCCGTTTTGGCCCTTTTAGGTGGTCTCCTTCAAGCGGCTGCCCTGTTCCTCATGGCACTCTCCAAGGGGTGCCTGGGCTATACTGGGTGAACTAGGCCGCCAAAGGCTCAAGAGAGGCGATTCTGAAGCATGCCCTCAAGATCTGGAGTATAATCTGAGTGCTTCAGGTTGCTAGACGTCACCAACGCACTGATGCTACTCGTGCCAACCCCCCAAGGTCCACCTCAACGCCCTTCGACGGCTTTCTGGCAGCCTTCATCTTGAGCGGCATCGGCGGCTCAACGTTGATGGCCCCTCCGAGTCGGGCATTGCATCCTTTTTCATCTTTAAGCCTCTAAAATCCTCTAAAAATATCGTCAGAGGGCTCCGCCCTACACCCCCAACCCTTCCCCAACCCTTTCACTGAAGGTGCAGAGCATGAGGCTTGCCTTTGCCATCCAGCCGCGGCCTCTAGGCTCAACATGTCTCATCGGATCCCCGGCCCGAGTCACCTCAAGAATCACAGGTTTTTTCGAGGTTGCAAGGTGAGAGGTTGGCGACGTTTTTGTGCGTCCCGAGTGTTTGGGGGGGGATTTTTGTTGGAACAAATAGTGTGCCCCAGAAGGCACCGCCGCGAAAAAAACGTCGATTGTGCCTGCGGTGAGTTCATGGTTTGCTTCGTGTGCAGGTACATTGTCTTTCGATTGTAGGCCGAAGGTTCCCAGCAGGGTTCCCTTAAAGCTCCTCTCGCCCCTTGAGGGCCCTAAACTCACTGAAAGTTCAAGTACCAGGTTCTTCGCCACCATAATGACCGCAATGAACTGCCTGGTGGACTCCTCTGCTGTCACACCTCTTGGGCTTCTCAGCACTTGAGATGCTTCTTCTTTGTCTAGCAAGTTGGATGTGACTTGGGGTTGGGGCGATCAGGGTGTTTCTCGATCATTGTGCTTCGGACAGAGTCACCACGGCAAGGGGGTACACCCTAAACACAGGACAGGAAATGAAGAACCAAGGCTGTATCGACTATATCTGCTGGGCATGTCGCGATTCAGCATATTTGCAGGCGCTCGGTTGTCAAAGCCCTGTCACCTTGCCAAGGGTGGGTCGGATGGGCCGTGGGGGATTTGCATTTGGCAGCTTTAGGTTAAAGGATTTGGGCTTCGAGCGAGTGTAGACAGTTCGGAACCCTTGGGTCTCCTGACGTTCCTTGCCCAAATCCTCCACAGCTGACGTAGCAAAGTTGCTTCCCAGGATACGGCATCGCCTGCCTCGTGTTGTCCGTGTCCCTGGCTTTTTGCTGGTGCGGAAGCCCTCTGCAAATCCTGAAAGCTTTGAATGCGGAGGAGTTGAAGTCGGCAGAGCTCAGCGCAACGAAGGCGGCAGAATGCACAGAGCCCCCTTCAAGCCAGAATCGGGAAGCGTAGGACATGTTGCCCTCACATGTTCCAAGCCAACAGCGCCTAACACAAACTACCATCAAACTACCCAGGAGGGAAACGGTTCCAGCCGCCCACGCCTCCATGGGCTCCCAGTGAGGGAGCAGGTCGAGGGCTGCGAGGGCTTGTTGATTGAAATGTGCAGGTTGAGTTTGAACCGCTCATATTCAGGTTCTTGCCGGTCCAGGACCCGCATGATGCTTCCATCCAGAGCTTCCATCCAGAACTGAACTGCATCTCCGGAATTGGGTTTACCGCCGTGTTCGGCGCATTGTGAAGAGTTTCAGTCCGCCTAGGCCTAGGCCTGAAGATTTGGATTTGTGGGGTTTGTGTGGACCAATGTCACGGACGCCAGTGACACCGCGGCTTAAGACTCTGTCATGCCCTGTGAAAGCCATCTGAAGGTGCGCGAAAGCGCCTACCAAAGCCCCCCTTCGAAGGTTTGGTCACTGGAGTTCGCCTTTGCCGGCATGTTCCTCTCTACACAGCTGCCCCGTGGCAACAACATCGGCGTTGGCTTTAACCCCTGCCCTACACGTCAGCAAACATCTGAAGTCGTAATTGAATAATTCCAAAGCCAAGCCGAAGCGCAATTGCATCCAAATCGACTCTGGGGAGTGGCAGGTTTCGCAGCAACGCCTACCTCGGCATTTGCAAGGACTTGTTGCAGTCTCTTGGAGACGTGGAGACGAACAACCTGTCTTTCGTCCGAAGGGTATGCGGCTGCCCAAAAAGCGACCCCTGATCCCAAAATGCCCCGTACACTCCAAGTGAGACCTTTCCGCCCACGCACCGCACTTGCGCAATCTTCAGACACAGTTCAATTGTTTTTTTTTTTTTATTTTGGGGGGGGGGGGGTTGCATGCATTGACACACACTCTTCGTTGTCAAGCTCTTCGATCTGTTCTCAATTCAACAGTTCATGTTCGGGAGTGGTTTAAGGTCTGCTACGGTTGAGTGCTGCTGTCGGCCTTTTCAAAAGGTCTTCCGAGCTCGGGACAGGGTTCTTCCAGTGGGGACAGACACCAACATGTACAAGTCCCAGCAACCGCTTCGTAAACTCCTTGGCCAAACGGAGTTCCCATGTCTGCTGTACGTCCGAGGTACACCCAGATTCTCAGTGCCTTACTACCTGCCTCAGCCCTGCTACTGCCGGTCTTTGACCTCTGCATGTCGCGTGGAGGCCTGCGTTTTTTGAAAGGCAGGTTCTGGGATTGGGTTCAGAACTTGAAAGCTGCCCGGAGCTGCCCGGAAGCCGCGCACTGCGACAAACTCCCCTGGCCCGGGGGGGCGGGAAGTCATGGAAAGTCATGGAAAGTCTCTCGCAGCTCTTGGTTAACCTGGGAAACTGAGCAACTCGAAGGTTTCGTGTTCACCTTCGGCGTGGTTCTCTCCCTTGGCGCGATTTGGGGTGTGGTCGTCCTCATCCCCTCCCTGCAGCTGCAGCTTCTGGCCTTCCTGGCCTTCACGAACTACCGTGCTTTGTTGCTACCCTCAGCTGCACTAATTTCACTAAATCCTGACAGAACAGAACGCCTGAAGTCCCAGGAGACCTAACACGCAGAATTCAAAGAACAAGGAGTCTGGGGCCAGTCTCCCAGACTCTTCGCTGTTCGAATTCTAGCTTTCAAACTGCAGCACTGGGCCGTATCACTCCAGTCACAGCGTCGCTTCCTCCTGTTTCCACCTGACTGAACAGTCTGCCACATCCTAAACTCAACACCGATTCGAAGCAGGAAGGGTGGGAGGTTGAGTTTAGGATGTGAGGTTGAGGGTGCGGGTTTCGGCTGTGTTGGACCACAGAATCAGGTTCGGGGTCTTCTTCACCTTCCTGGGCCACAGCTTCGGAAATCGGACGTTTGGCCGGATCAGCTGCTTGTGCTACATGCTCTCGGCTGGTCTGTCTTGGTTGATCTGGCCGTTGAGCAACGTGGGAGGTTCCCAAAGCTGCTCTCACAACCCTGTGGAAGCCCTAAGTCTAAGTTAAGCCTCCGGAAAAACCCTACAGCCCTTATAGGCCTTGCCTCCCGATTGCGCCTGTTAAAAGTCAAGTCAAGCCGCAGCCTTGGAGTTGTCAAAAAAGAGGTCTCCAAGCAGCTGGGTGGTGACCTCACCTTCATGAACGGGTTCCTGCTGCTCCTTGGGCTGCTGCCCATTTGGATGGTGATCCTCCTGGCCCGGCACTTGCGGCGGTTTCCGACGGGAGATTTGCGTGCGAAGCCTGACAACAAAAAGGTGGAGTGGGAGGAGGAGGGGACCGTCTTTGATTCGGTCTTGGTGGGCGCCAGTCGAGAGGTGACTGCGAGACCCCTGCGGTCCTTATGGAGACGTTGCTTCGGATACCTTGCCTGAGGCAAGGCTGATCATTGCCGCTGGAGAGCCAATCATTGCCATCTGAGAGTTTCTACGACCCTGAGGGTCGTCGGACAGGCAGTTTCCGCGTGCACTTTTCCAGTTTCATGCGGTGTTAAGAGTCTTGAAGTACCTGCAAATGCACTAGATTTGAGAGTTGGGAACGAGCGGAAGGGTTGCAAATACTCGCATTCAACACCAATGGCAACTCGTGCATGCAATGCTCCTGATGTGTGAGTCTTAGGCCTTCAACCCTCGTCAGGAAAAGGGTGTCCCGCTCAATGCTTCACACGAAGTGCTTCGAAGTGGTTCCGGGGACCCCGTTGTCTTCGTCATATCAGACCACCCAGCACGCCGCACCAGGCGACCATGTTCAGGGTGAATTCAGGGAAGTCTGAGAGCCAACCGCACGACCTGCGTCTTCTGTTGCGCTTCTGTGAGCTCTGTTTGCTAGTGAGTGGTGTTGATTGCATTGAATAAAGACGTGCCACACAGAGTTCTAGGAGGGCTCCCAAGGCAGGGTCGTCAGGGGGTGAGGGCACGTGGTGCGAAGTGGAGTAACTGAAGGTTTGGAGTATGATCGCAGCAGATTCGACGCTTGGGGGGGGGGGGTTGGGGGCCTTCACACGTAAAGTGCGACCCTTGGAGATGCCTCTCGGGTTGCCCGCAACCCGCATTGATCTAGCGCGATGGAGTTTGGCGATCTCCACAGTATCCGCACCTTCGCTCATCGGGACGGCTGCAGCTGTTTTGCCCCAAGGCCCGCAAACCCTGAAAGCAACAGCTGTTCGTCGTCTGAAGAATGCTTGTCATACAACTGCTCTTTGCTTTGGCCAGTGCTGCACGCATGGATACCGACGCTGCGGCAGGACCTGGCCAGTCGCTTCTTAAGGCCCAAAGTCTTGGAACCTGTAACCTCACTTTTTTCAGGATCCCGCGCAGACTTGTGTGATCGTTGGCTGTTGGTCCAGCATCCTGGCCAAATGATTGCGGTTGGAATTCTTTAGGGTTTGGGCGGGAAGACGCTTTCAGAAGCTTCCAGGTATGAGGACGGCAACGATGGTGCCAACTCCTCCGAAGACGTTACGCGTGTGTTCGGCTCCTTCCGGTACCTCGCGCAGGAATGGAATGGTGAGCGCGAGGCAGCGGACCATCGGAGCATCAGAGCACCTCCTACACCCTGTAGAATCTAGATCCCACGCCTTCGCACCAAGCCCCCCATTCCCAAGATTCCCAAGCGCCGGGTTTCCTCCCATGCTCTTCTCTTCGTTGCGCGGCGTTGCCATGCTCTGGGTTCAAGTGCCTTGAGAGTGCTGAAGATGTGCTCAAATGTGGCTACAACTTGTCCCTGGGCCAAAGTTTCCACTTTCCCCTCGATTTTGTTCGGAGGTTGTTCTTCTTCTTTCTCTTCACGAAAGATTTTAGCAGAGACTCTTCTTCCAGACTTGGATGCAAGCTAAGCTAGCGCTTCCCCCCTGCGGAGCCTTGTGACTTCCCGTGCTCTCGAACTGGAGCTGGGCAGGTGGTCTTGGCCAAAAAGCAGCTGCCCAATGGTTGCACCAAGACGTACGTGGCCAACTGTGAGCAGGGCGGCTTCTTGGCGGCGCGGGATTTTCCAGGTTGCAGGTTCCAGGGTCAACCGAAAGATCCTGGAGCACATCCCCTGTTTTGAACCCCATTGAACCCAGTTGGCCCAAGGTTTTTTCAGGTGTCAGGTCCACGGCCCCGTGGAATCCGTGGAACACCATCACCATCACCCCAAACCCATTTCCCGCTTTTTTGAGGCTTCATCAAGAAGGAGGAGTGCCCTGGCCAGGAGCCTTCCCTCACCAGCAAGTGCCTCGGTGGCTTCGGCTGCCTCTGGTACAGCCGAAAGACCGACCTGGCCGCTTAGATCCGCTTGGCGCCCATGATTTCTGCACAAATCTTAAGAGCTGGAAGAAGTAGTATAACAACATGAACCAGATCACACTTTGAGACTATTTGGATAGAATCCCTGCGGGTGCGCAAACACAAGCTTTAAGCAGTACGAGCTCAGGAGAGCGGGGAAGTTGCCACTGCGCTTTGGGCTGCACCTAAAGGGAGAGAGAGCGAGAGAGAGAGAGCCCGCACCAGTTGGTCTCAAAAGGGACCTGTGACCAGACTTAACCGCTTGGCCGTCGCGGCCGTGGGTCACCTTCGGGGGGCCCTCTCAAGTGTGGAGGAGAAGAAGAAGAAGAAGAAGAAGAAGAAGAAGAAGAAGAAGAGGAGGAGAGAGCGAGAGAGAGAGAGGTCGAGCACGCCCTGACCCCAACGAAAGAAAGAAAGAAAGACCGAGCACGACACGGACGGGGACCACGTGACGAAGTTCGGCGACGACAACGAGCAGGAGCACACAGTGGAGGAATGGCTCAGAACGGGTGCCACGGGACCAGCACACATGGACTAGGAGGACACCGAGGGCCACGGGGACACCAAGGACCATGCGACAACAAGAAGGTACCAAAGACAGCCGAGACCACCAGCACGATCCCGAGAATGGGGACCAGCCTCAAAACAAGAAACGACGCCCTGAAGCTCAAAAGGGCAAGCAGCCGTGAAAAGCATTTTTGCGTGCCACAGTGGGGACCCAGGAGACGGACTACGAGACCGGAGCGCCCATGGACACTGATAGAGAGTGCGAGAACCGCGCCCAGCCCGCCCTAACACAGGTACGGGGCCGCCGGCTCAAGGAAGCCGGTGGCAAGCGTACGCAGCTCCTGAATGCAGGGATGATCAGACAGGGAACCACTTGGCCGTCCCGGCCGGGTCACCCGCATAGGGGGGCTCTTAAGTGCGCAGAAGACGAAGAAGGAGGGAGACGGAGAGTGAGCGAGAGAGAGCTGTGGGCTACAAACCGTGGGAGGGGGGGGGGGGGGGGGAAGAAAACACCTCTTTCGCGTGCAGCAGCTCATGGGCTCGATATAAGTGATTCCTCTCCGCCCTCTCTCGCTCTCTCTCTTTCTCTCTCTCTCTCTCTCTCTCCCCCTCTCTCCCTCTCTCCCTCTCCTTCTCACTCTCAGTCAGACCGAAGAAAGACCCCCCAATAGTTGGCCCTAAAAATAGGGACAAACAAGTTCTCCTCTCAAAATTTCGCGCCTCCGTCTCTCGATCTTTCTCGAACAGCTCAGGTTTTTGATCCATTGGAGGGCCATCGCCAGATGTCGTCCGGGAAGGTTGGGCACCCCGAACAAGCATACACACAGAGCTGTCAAGAGGGTGCGCCGCAAGAACCAATCAAAAATGCCCTCCCCCCCCGCACCAAATCAGCACGAGAGGTGATGTTCTCCACTTTGGACCCGCACAGGGGCGTGGCCTTGGAGCGCATTGCTCGAAATGGCTGGAAAGCCGAGTGGGGCTGCTGCTGGTGGATGATTTGGAATCGGCGTTGATCTTGGTTCTTGCGCACGGTTCGGGCCCTTCCCAACAAACCGCCCGCTGTAAGCCTCCAAACCCGGACTTATCTTAACAGCTGCACGGCTACCCCTTTCAAGCCCGATCCATCGACGTACTGAGTTTGAAGGGTTTGGGGGATTATAAGGGGGCTTCGGGCCTTCGAGCTCCAAGGCATTGAGCGCCTGCTAAGGGCTTTAGATGAATCTTGGATTGTGTAGGCCTTTCTTGGGGGTTTCTGCGGGACCGGGACAAACACCTGTGATGTTTCGGAAAACGCCAAGGCTATTGCTGTCAACACAGCTACAGTGCGCTGTCGAACCCCTTCTCGTTTTCAAGCGGCCGGGTGGCGTGGAGTTCTAGGCGCAAGGGGGCCTTCTGGGGCAGAAGCTTAGCCAGGGCCGACTTGCGTTGCACGTACCGTACTTTGACAGACAACCACTTTACTAGGCTGGAAGAGAGAAGGCTTTAGGGCTTTGGGGTCACCGTCTTCACCAAAGCGCCATAACTACAAAGGTTCCTCTGCCTCCTAAAGCCTGAGTCCTACAACTTCCCACAACTGCCCTACAACTGCCCTACAGCGTGCTGGAAGTTCAGCCGCTCCACTGTGCTCCCCACTCTGCTAGGAGCGGCGGCCTGCAAGAGTGCATGCTGGCCTGGCGCATGATTGGCAACGGCATGAACCACGAACAGCCCGCCGACAGAAGCTGGGCTGTATATCTGTCGCAATGTTCCGCAGCTGTGTGTCGAGAGCCTCATGTGAATAGAACTTCTTAAGTTTGACACGGTCTGTATTTAGGGGGGGGGCGCCTCTCCTGGCCTCTTGTCTTGCGAGAGAAAGGGAGAGAGCGCCTTTTTTGTGTGGTAAAGACAGAGATGTAAGCAAAAAGATGCAATTGTCTTGTGATAGAACTTCTTAAGTTTGAAACGCTCTATAATTAGGGGGGGCCTCTCCTAGCCTCTTTTCTTGTGAGAGAAAGCGAAAGACAGAGAGAGAGAGAGAGAGAGCGTCGTTTTGGTGTGCTAAAGAGATGTAAGCAAAAAGATGCTTAAAATCTTGTGAGGCAGCGTGCTGGGAGTCCTGGCCTTGATCCCGGAGTTCGTGGGGACGTTTCTGGACATCTTCTTCACGGGCACCGTGGCCCGGCACCTCGCCTGTTCCGCCACCTGCACCTTGCGGGAGGCCAAGTTCGAGCCCAACAAGTGCCCCGGAGACCCTTCGATCAAGATTTTTTTTTTCTTCTGGGGGGGTGGGGGGGAGTTCCAATGACTCTGTAAGAGTATGTGCGATACTGCACGAAAGACCACAGCACAAAGGTACTCTTACACCAAGATTTCCACAGAGTTCGACAAGTACTGAGCGCGCAGAGAACTACTACGACAATAGCTGGCTGTGACACGAAAAGCGTGAGATCACGTTCGACACACTTCTGCGCATCAGTTCCCATCTCCTTTTTTCCACCCATCAGCACGTTTGTGATAGGCAGAGGCCTGGGCCAAACACAAATCTCCCGAAGCCACAGATGAAGGACTGGCACCAAAATGACCCCATAATGAGACCCTGTCCCCCCCGGTATGAAACCTTAGACTGCAAAGCTAGGTTCAGCCTTAGCCCTAAACTTTCAAACTCGACACCAAAAGATGAAGGCGGAGAAGCCGGAAAAACAGCTCTGAAACGTGACGAGTTTTTACGTTAAGGACCTCCTTAGCCCCAAAGAAACAGCACGCACATGTGTATGTGTATGTGTATGTGTATGTATGGAATCCCTGATTAGCAACTCCCTAATTGCAAAGTTCCCGAAGGTTTCAAGCAGAAAAGCCTTAAGCCTTAACCCCGAAGCCTCCAAACCTTTTCCCCGAAAAGCCTTAAACCCTCAACCCTTGTCCTGAACCCGAAAGCCTAGCGCACCTAAAGCCTAGAAGCCCTAAACCTCTCAACAACCCTAAACCCTAAGCCCGACAACCTTAAACCCCGAACCCGAAACCCTAAACTGTGAAAGGCCCCAAGCCCTAAAGCCTCAAATTTCCTAGAAGATCTACCTGCGCTGGTTCCTTTAAAGTCGCAGGTGAGCTTGTTGTTTTTCTGAGCTTGAAACCCCTCTCGAGCGGGAGGGACATCTGGGGCCAATGCAGTCACAAGTGATGGAAGGTTATAGTCGCAGGCAAGCGAGTTTCGTCGTTGCAGGTGAGATCAGGAAGTAGTCACAAGGAAATTCAATATACGCAAATGCGTGGTGTGCCACGTCCCTAAAAATTTCGTGATTCCGTACGTGCCGCGCCAATCAGGATCAGATACGCGCATTGCCAAGCTACGCCACGCTGCCAAGCACATGGGTTCGGAACATGTGAGTTCAGGTAGCAGAATATGTTTTGGGTCCAAGCCGTAGTTAAGACAAAGAGAGTCGGATACAAAGTTTTTGCACGGTTGACCCTCCCGTCCTGCACAGCGGTCATCATGGCATCCGTTGGAGCCAAATCTGACCTGCTAAATGTCTTGGGAGATGTCAAAGCCCGCGTCCAGGAGGGGATTGGGCTTGGGAGAGGTCAAGGTCAAGGTTGCAAGATCGAGGGATTAAAATCCCGCAGTTTGGGTTACGGTTTGCGGCCTGCGGCCCAAGTCGTTGCGAAGGGTCCATCGGTTGCGCTTCAGAAGTTGGAGGGTTGGTTGAGGGGTTGGCTAGCGCCCAATTGCGACCCCAGCACAAAGATACTGGTACCAACGCCCAACACAAACCTGCAATGCCTTCACCTCGAAATCCCTATAACGTTATAAAGTGTATCTGGATTTCTGCTACTGTTCGGACGCGCAGTCCATAATCTATATGAGCATTCTTTTACCAAAGTAGGCAAGCTGCCCAACATTCCTCTCGCAATGTAGGACAAGCTGGGAATTGTGGATTTTCCGATGCCGCAATTCATCCTCATCGGCCGGCAGTCCGTGGGCAAAAGCCGGCTGATCGAGGCAAGTCGATGTTGGAGTGCTTCGGGCTTGAGGCTTGAGGCTTTGCTTTTTTTGGCGGTTTTTTTTGGGGTCGTGTGCAGGGGATGACTAGCGCAACCCAGCCGTCAATCATTCCTTCCCCTTCCCACCCCCCTGCCCGGCTCTGCCCTGGCCCCGCAACACTTTCGACTGCGGAGCCCAGGCGCTGGCCGGGGAGTGCTTCAACTTCATCTCAGGGTACCGAACAGGGGTTCACGGAGTTTCGGTCTTGGAGGTTCCGTTGCAGACAGCCTTTTAAGGCCTAAGCCCATGGCTTGTGGCTTCAAGTCTGTTTTGACATCTGGGTCAGGTTTTGGACCGTTTTTTTCGGCTTGGGGCATGCTCAGGTACTCAGGCCCCAGCAGTCCCGAAAAAAGAGGCTTCGAAGCGCGCGTTCCCTTCCAGCGCCCCTCATGCTTCGTGAGGCTTCATGTCCCGAAACGGGGCTTAATGAGCTCTCGGAGGTCTCAAAAGGAGGAAGACACATTCACAAGACAAGATCACAAATGCTCTGCGCAAGCCGTCCAAGCAGCGCCGCTACTTAAAGCCGCGCTACAAAGAGCCCCAAAGCACGAGAGGACCTTGGGAAGCCGGCGGCCAACAGTCCTCGAGTTCCGGCATGCGCCGAACAACACTCAATCCAGGCGCCCCTCTCTGGGTTATTAGGCTTGCTCTTGCTGTTGCATGTTTCTGTTTTTTCAACACTCGGTTCTTAATAAGGGCTCTGTCTGATTCATTTGTTTATAATTTTTTGTTGGGGTATTGAGAAATTGAGGGCGTTGGAGCGGAGGGGCGTACAATTTGGCTGCTTCACAGGCTGTACAGTGCTGTTGACAGACACTACCATGCTTTGCGGGAGTCCTAAATCTTCCGAAGCCGTTCCCTGCAAATCCGAAGCCAATCCCCACAAGCTTCGAAACGAAGCCCCTCGGAAAAGCGCGAACAAGCAGTGAAGCCCATACCCTGCATCTCCTTCAACCTGAAGAGTTTGTGCATGCTTGTAAATTTCATAAAAAAGGAAATATTCAAAACAGGATTCTTCAGCTGAACATCCAGGTGGTTCGTGCGCGACCGGAAGACAAATCACTGGATCGACCACCCAGTCGATCAGGCAGGGCCTAGGGCTCAAAGCATCCCAGAACGCATCCCCCATATACTGCCATATTCACCCCAACAGACGTCCCCACCCAAGCCCCAACCCCCAAGCCCCAACCCCCAACCCCCCCAACCCCCAACCCCAACCCCCAACCCCCAACCCCCAACCCCAACCCCCAACCCCCAACCCCCAACCCCCAACCCCCAACCCCCAACCCCCAACCCCCAACCCCCAACCCCCAACCCCCAGTGCCGATGGCTGGATGGCAGCCAACCCCAGAAACAGCTTAGAGAGATGTAGGGTTGAGTTACGGGTGAGTTAAATTCCAAGGGCCCCAGAGCCAGAGTTTAGACCAGGCGTTCAACTGACTGATGGCAGACTGATGGTTGTAGTGTGGGGGGGGGGAACATGGACGCCCCATGGACTGGTTTCTTCAACCCACCTTTGCACAATCGATGGGCCCCAAGAGTTGGTACTTTGGGATCCTTGCCCAAGAAGGGTGCCCCTGTGCGTGCCTCTTGAGGGTCCTTGGTCCGCAGCTGCGCCGCAGCTCGCAGGTCATGAAGATCGTGGGTGACGCCCACGAGGACCTCCAACAATGAGCGTACCGTTGGCCAGTCTTTCGGGAGGGTTCAGGTTCAGGCACTGCAAAGGATCAGCAGGGTTATGGAGGGTTGAGGCCTCTGGAGCCAGGAGGGCCGCAAGTATCTCATAGGCGACAAGCCCTGCGCGCACCCCTTTTCGGCATGCAGAGTCATTTCATGTGACACGTTTTTCTTACAGTCGTGTTCTCTGCGGCACGCGCGGCTTCTAGGCCAGCCGTTCCTTCTCCTGGCAAATCATTTAAGTTCACCCCGGCCCAGGAGTGTGGCACTTCAGTCAGTCACGAGCCCATCTATGTACGCATCGAATCCAGCAAGTGCGTCGAATCTTGGCCTTGTGTGGGTCTGGGTCGTACCTCGAATGAGCATCTTGTACGTTCAAGGGACCTGGGTCTCGGAGGCTAGAGTCATGCCCAGTGAACATGATGGCACCCAGGGTGCTAGAGCATGTATAGGGTTTAGAAGGTGTATGTGTGTGTGTGTGGGAGCGGTGTTGTTAGAGAGTAGTTTTCCCTGATTACCATCTGTTGGTTGCTGCTATCTCGCCGCGTATGTTGAGTTGAAGCTTTACTTTGCCTGTGCAATTGCTGTTCGTTTTACATCTTGGAGTGCGGGATGAAGATCTAAGTCCTGAACCTCCTCCCTTGCGCTCTGAAGCCAAAGCAGGACATGCAGATTGTTGACCTGCCCGGCTTCCGTGACTTCGCCATCGACACGGGCAAGCAGGATACTTCCCCCACAGATTCTCCCGCGTGTAGGGCGCGTAGCACAACTGAGATTTGATGACGTTCAGGGTTCGGTTTTTTCTCCCTTGTCATGTCATTTGGGTAAGCTGCAGGCTGTAGCTCCAAAGGTTCTCTACTGTTCCGGAGGCTTATTCCCGAAATGCTAAGGCCGGGTGTGGGGGTCGAAAGGGATGTTGTTCGGGACACCCCCCCCCCCTTGACCTTCTCCACTCCGATCAACCGCAGATCCCTTGAGCAAAGCTCCCTGCCAGATCCTTGAACTCCAAACCTGACCCCCCAAGCACGGGTGCCGAAAGGACCTTGCTGACAAGATCGAAACCCTTGTCATGACCTTCATGAAAGACAAGCGGAGCCTCAGACTTTTAGTGCTTGCGCACATCCCCCGAAGCCTCCGGTGACTTTGACTTCATGAGTCTATCAGGTGCTTAAGTTGAGTAGGTCTCATGGTTCGAGATTTTTGTGGTTTTTCGGTTCAGGTGTGGAGTGAAAGCCAGTGGGCCCGCTGGGGCCCCCTTGACCCATCTCTGCAAGGCCCAACCGCCGACACCCAAGGCGCTTAGCGCTCCCCAGCGTCGCTCTTCCCTCACTTTCTCCAACCCCCTTCAGCCCTTCAGCCCTTCGGCCCTTCAGCCCTTCAGCCTCGAGGAACGTAATGCTCTGCGTCGAGCAAGCCGGCGATGCAGCCACCATGTCGACCCTGGCAAAATGCAGAGCGCTGGATCCCGCCTCCCGGTCTTCGAGAGGTTGAGAGGAGCTTTGAGAGGAGTTTTGAGGGGGAAATTTGGGCTTTAGCATCGGGGGGGTGCTTACAGGACATAAGACAGTCAGTTTGCTGCTCACATGTGGTCCATGTGGTCTCCAACTCGCCACCTCCGAAAACCTTGACTCAATACGAAACCCAATTTGATTTTTCGGCCCCTGAGCTTTCGATTGGCAGACTGAGTGCGGCGTTTAAGGGTTGAAGGAACTGCCCCTTACAGTGACCCGAAGCCCCCGACGCCTACACCCCAACTCCAGACCACTTCAGCCAAGGATCTCAAAAGAACCATCCTCATCAGAAACAAGCTGGACAAATACTACTCTGCCGCTTGGCAAGACTTGGGAGTGTGGGTTGTCAGAGCCAGTGCCGAGAATGCCGAGAACAGCACTGTGAATCTCGCAAGCAAGGACACAGCAGCACCGGCCGTCAGCCCCGAAGGGCCTGAAGAACTCGAATCCTTTGAGAACATTCCTATCTGAACGCCGACTGCCTATGCTTCAGCCGCACTCCAACGCGTGCTCGCATTCTGCTTGCATTCTTCTCGATGTGTGATTCAACTTGTGTGCAATATGATGCAATTGGAACATGGCGCGTCGCCGATTCCGAGAGCACGCTCCCAAGTCATAGCCAACATGTGCAGCACCTCACCCAGCTCCCTGCGCAATGGTAGAGAGAGAGTCGTGTGCGTCTGTGCGTCTGTGCGTCTGGGCGTCTGTGCGTCTGTGCGTCTGTGCAGGTGCGCGTGCAGGTGCGTGTGCGTGTGAGTGTGCGTGTGCGGGTGCGGGTGTGGGTGCGGGTGCGGGTGCGTGCGCGGGTGGTTTGCGCGCGCGCGCGCGGTCGGGCGTGCGTGCGTGCGTGCGTGCGTTCGTGCGTGGGTGGGTGGGTGGGTGGGTGGGTGGGTGGGTGTGTGTGTGTGTGGCATGACTAACCCGCAAAAGGATCTGACGACGGACAATGTGAGCAAGTGCCTTGCCGGACTTCAAGTTCGCAAGTTCAGGTTTCATAGAGCTTTAGGGTTGAAGTGGGTTCGGGGCACGGCTCATTTTGCAGTGCAAGGCGGCTCTGCCCCTTTGTGCAGCGAGTGCTGCTGTGACAACCAAGTGAAGCCCTCGGAACCTTGGACCCTTTCACCTCTAACCGACTCTGACCGTTGTCCAAGGTTCAGATTGGTTCAAGTTTTGATTCTTTGCGGTTTAGAGGGAGTTTTCCGGCGGCTCTCTCTTCAGTTATCGTTGCGAGCGTTGCAACATGCAAGTGGCTTCTTGAGGATTCCTGTGGCTTCAGGTTTCATCCTTCCTCCTGCCCCGAAGTCCCCTAGCCAGGGATTTGAGAAGTCTGTGTGGGGACCATAGTCCCAACCAACACCTCTAACCCCACGGATCATAATACTCTAAGCCTCTAAGCCGCGCCTAAAACTAAACAGTGGCCCTTGTAAGATTCTAAGCCAGACACCGGGAAGCCCAGCCAAAATGCCAAAGTCCAACGTCTTGTCTACGGTTCGCCCACGCACAAGGTGGGTGGATGGCTTTGGAGATCTTCCAGACTCACTGGTGAGGCGCAAGCAAGCCTGGTTAAACTTCTTCACACTGAGTGCTTCGGGAGAAAAGTTGAAGATGGTTGAAGGATGCATGGTGCAGCTCGGCTTAGCTGAGTCTGAAGATTTAGGACGCAGGATGTGTGCGGATAGAAGAAGCTCCACGCTTCAGAATCCAAACCCCAAGTTCCGTGCACTGAGCCTGAAGAGCCCCCCCCCCCCGTCGGTTTTGAGTTGAACTTGTGAGACTTGCACGGCTTAAAGATTCGGATGCTGGGATCTCGGCACGAGTGTTTCTCGTGTTTTTGCATCAGGCTGCATGGCGTGTTTGGCTTAATGTGGCAGGCTTGATCCTCATTGTACGTCTTTGCGTCTTTGACTGTAAGTATCAGCACTCCTACGGCGGCCACCTCACAATGTAAGGAAGGATCTTGCACATCCGAAGCCCTGAAGCCTCGCAACACCTAACGAGCGAGCCTAAAGAACACGAACAGCTACCGAAATTCAAAGCCTCCACTACAAGCCTGCCCAAAACCAGTGTAAGACGCGGCTTCAAGAGAGAGCGTCCCAGATGACTCCAAAAGAGCAACCCCCAAGTTGGCCCAAGTGTTGACGACCAGCAAGAAAAACAGAGAGAGAGAGAGAGAGAGAGAGAAACAGAGAGAGGGAGAGAGAGAGGAACCACCGCGCGGAGGTTTGCCATGACTTTGCCTTGGTGGCCTGACACGACCCCGATGCCGAAGCCCTTCAATGACATCAAGGTCTCAGTGTCTGACGGATTGTGAGACGGATTGTGACACGGTGTGACACGGTGCGACACTTTGATCTCTTGGGGAGGGGGGGAGGCGCGGGAGGCGCGGGAGGTTGGCGAGGTTTTTTTCTGGGTGGAGGGGGGGAGGGGGGGACCCAGAAGGCAAAGAGTTTTGAAATGGAGGTCTCAAATCGGAAGCCCCGGGCTGTGGTAATTAGAAAGTGCATGCTTCAACTTTAGCACCCCTGAATGTTTCTTGCCACTTGGGACTTTTGGGAGATTTGGGAGCTTAAGCTTCGCATGCTTCGCGGTCACTTTGAACTTCATGAATTTGTCGAGGTGCTCTAAGTGCCGGAGTTTGGTGGATTTGCTGTTCGGGCAGCTCGGTTTTCGGAATACAGGGCGGACTGCCTCAGGTTGCTGTCAGAGAGGCGTTAACGTTTCCGAAACCCCGGCCCAGAGCCCCAATCCCCGAATCAAGTTTGCCTCCTTGTTGCTAAGCCCTGAAGCTTTTTGTTTCCCATCACCTTTCTTCCTTACATTCCTGGCAAAGCCACCCGAAAGACAGGACGAAAAGGATACGGAGGACCGTAACCAGATGGCTTCGAAGGCACAAGGGCTGATGCATGCCGGGATTGCTTGAGAGGTCTGCGGTCGTCGGTTTGGCGTTGCCCCACCCTGAACCGTCTGTAATCGTATGCTGGACAGGGCCTGAGCGACCTCTACATGGGCACAATCGGGTTCAAGAACTTTGTGAAGTACATGGAGAGGCTTGTCTGCAGCTGCGCAACTCCACAAGTTCGACAGCTCAATCCCGCTGAGCCGAAGCCCACAGCAGCCATAAGATCCTAAACTCTGACCTTCTCGTCCTCATCTTTGACATCTAGACGGAGGACTGCCACGAGCTCCCGAACCCTTGCATCAACTTGCGCAGCCGTAACTTCCGATAGCCGTAACGCGCAAAAGCCTGCCATCGTGCGGATTTCGACGCGTGCCGCTGCCGACGCCCGCCCGTGATCGCATGTTGAGTTCGGGGCACGTCTGCGAACGATCTCGGGTTCGATCTCGCCTGGGGGCAGCTAAGGAAGAAAATCGAGCAGATGTTCGCCGATGCCATCGACCCAGTGCTGACCAACCTCAAGGATTGAACCATTCGAAAAACCCTGGACTCTAATACTCGCACAAGTGGAAGACCCGCCTTCAAGCCGAAGACATCCCCAATCCATAATATTCCAGGATCTGAAGTCGACGGCACAGCAGCAGAAAAAGGACCTGGAGACGGAGTACAACGACACGGACCCGGAATCTCACTAGCCCGCAGGTGTCTGAATTGCAGGCCTTGATCCGGAGCCTCAATGGCCAAGCCCTAAACTCCAAATCCCTGTTTCAGGCCAAGGCTGGCAGCGACTGCTTTCTCCCCTTCTGAGTACGCTTGGTAGTGTATTGGCAGACTTGAGCCCTGCTCTTCAGCCCCAATACAGCCCTCACAATGCCTTACAACGGGAGGATCCCCATCGCATCCTGAGCACGACCCGCGACTGCGGCATCTCCTTCGCCACAGCCTTGACCCACGTCATGGAAGGCCCATCTGCAGTTCTCTGCGGTTTTGGGTTTAAGGTTGAGAAGCAAAGAGGGTTCTCTTGGGGATTCCCGCCTTTTTTGTTCTCTGGGGGTGTCTGGGGTTCGTTGAAATCCGCTATCAACACCCCCCCTCCCCCCCCACCAGAACACCCTGAGGCGTTTTGGATCTGCAGCCGGTCATGAACCTGGATGAGGCGCCTTAGAGGCTTTTAGGGGGCTTACTTGGGAGGCTTGGTTTTCTTGGGGTCGCGAGCCCTATCGCGTGGTCGTGGGAAAATGAGCGCCCACATGCGTTACATCCAGCTCATCCAGCTTCAACTCTGCATCGAAGAGTTGAACTGAGACCCAGGTCTGTTCATCCGGGGTTGACGCTTTCAAGTGCTCCTCCATAGGTCTTATCACCGGCTTTTGCTTGAGCATCCGTGCAGGGTCGGAAATGTCCAAGGTACATCCCTGGCCCAGCCCAAACCAGGCTCTTTCCGACAACGATGCTTTGCATTTCTAGCTTCTTGTCCCCCAGCATCCAGCCCCGACGGCTCGCCCCGAAGGCTGGAAAGAAGAGCGCCCACAAATCACAACAAAAACCCAAGCAAGGAGCTTAAGAACCTGTGCTGCATCCAGATGTCAGCCGCCTCAAGCACTCACTTGGCCGCTTCAAGTTGCAGGAGCTTCGTGCCTTCCACACCTACCACACGACGCTGGGATCTGCACACTTCAGCATGCTGCCCTCCGAGGATGGGATGGTGGGCCGATAGGGCCAAAATCGGGTTTCACTACTCAGAGAGTTGTACGGCTCTCTTGTGCTCTTCTCGGTGCAGGACTTCTGCAGCTTGAACGACTACATTGACTACTTGAGGAACGAGATTCAGCTTCTTGACATAAATCAGCTGAGAGCCGCTGCCGGGGATATCCCAACTTCCAAGTGCACACGCAGAGCCCTGAAACCTGAAGCCATCATCAAAACCCTAAACTGAACCCTGACCCTACCATGTCTTTCAGGCGGGCATGCAAGGGCACGATCGTCGCCGAAACTAGTGACTGGGAATGCTTCGAAGCCCTGTGGAACTTTAACGAAATCTGGAAGGTTGTGGCTAGCCCTGGGTGGAGTTGAGAGCTTAAAGTTTGGTTGTCCCTGATGCTGCCTTCAGGATCGGTGCTTTCGACGTGGAGGTCAACGGAGGTGCCGGAGAGAGGGGGAAAAAGGAGTGGACAGGGGGGCGGGGAGGCGGAACCCTGAAATCCAGAGACCTCTGAAGGGTGGATCTTTTGATGCCTGTTGTTGTGGAACATGGGACTTATTGTGCTGTGGAGCACTGGACTGGAATTGGGATTTGCAGTCTGGGGATCACACTTTGGTTTTCTTCTTCGTACATTTTGGATTTCAGTGATTTTCGATATTCAGGACCCAAGGCCTGCTTCGCTCTTAAAAGGAAGCCTGGAGCAACTTGATAACGTGACGATACGGGACGCATGCGTATTCACGGCTTGGAGGGTAGAGTGAGCGTTCGTCATGCTTCATGTTCAGGGCTTTGACTTTAGGATGGGCCGCCTCAATGTTGTTTTTTTCGGAACCGGGCTCCATTTGGTTTTCTGGAGGTGCACAGTTCAGACGCTTGATGATGGAAGTGGAGATCTTCTTGCTGCTGGGCTGTTGTCTAAATGACCAGCAGGTGTTCGGGTTTGGAGTTGGAAGGTTCTCAGTGGGCCGCTTTAGTTGCTTGAGCCGCTTTAGACTTGGATTCTTCCCTACACAGCTGTCTGCTCCGGGGATGGCTCCGACATGCTCCGCCACGCTCCGCCACGCTCCGCCATGCTCCCCCATGCTCCGCCCAGGCGCTTCTCGGAGATTGCTGTGGAGATCAAGAAGCGCGATGTGCCTGGGTGAAACCATGCAGAGGATTCCTGTGTGTTGCATGCAGCCTAGAAGGAAATCTTCGTCTTCACAACTACCTCGCCCTGTTTCCGTTGGATGGCTTCAGCATGGCCTTCTTGCCCAGAACCCCATTTTGTGGCCTGAAGCCTGGGGGACGGGCCTGATCTGGCCTTTGCTCACCCTTGTGATGCCTTCTGTCGGCACATGCGACCCTGATAGCTCGGTCTTTGAGTGGGCGTTTGCCTTTTGGGCCTTTCTGGGTCGAGGTCCCTTTTTGTTCACCCTGTTTGCCCGCCCTCAGAATTAAGAGTCAGTGACATCTGTCAAGCTAGGCAAGTGCCAACTTTGATTAATCTTCAGAAATGCAAACAAAGAATCTGGATAGGCACTCACGCTCCTTTTGTGTGTACGTATACGTGTACTCTCTCTCTCTATATATATGTACAGATAAATATATATATATATATATATATATGCATGCATGATGCACCAAGAACCTACACCACGCAAGAGCCAACACCCCAGCTCTGCCTAATAAAAAGCCACCACCCCCTGCCAAAGCCCTCAAGAGCCCTCGAGAGCCTTCCGAGGTGATCCAAGCCCGCGGCGTCTCCATGAGCTCCCTCACCTGGCGCGACGTGGTCGTCAAGCACCTCGGCGTGTTCGGCGCCTTCGGGCTCTAACATCTCTATTCTCACAATCCCATCCCGAAATCCGAAAAAAGCCCCCGAATGCTGTACACGGCAGACATGCCGAACTCTCCCTGAACGATCTGCTTTGCACGGCTTCAAGCCCCAAAGCCTCAAAGAGAGGACATATGCTTTCCTACCAAATCCCCTACCAAATCATGCTACGGTAAACCCTGCCCGGATGCCCAGTTGTACCGGCTTTCCCTTAGAGTTCCTTCGATTTTACAAGTTCTTGGCCGCTTTTGGGGCTTGCATCCGCCTAGGCTTCTCAGCCACGAGGCTCACCTGCCTTTGCAGCGGCGAGTGGCCTACGTCGGCGAACGGATCAAGTGGTTCCTAGATAGCAGTGCGTGGGCTTCTTGGGGTGCAGTGTGTGGGGGGTTTGTGGCTGGGGGCTCAAGGAGGACGGGCTTTGGGTCTTCTGTTGGGACGGCAGCTGAGGTTCTTCGAGATCCAGATGCCCGGCGACAGAGAAAAGGTCATGTGTTGGGTTTTGTTAGTGAACGGTTTAGGTCGGCTTTTGGGGTTTTGTCCTTTTCCGCAGGCCCAAGCCCACTCTGACCCCACCCGGGAGACAAGGAAAGATGCCGTCCTGGAGTTCATGACAAAGCTCGAGGGGTCCCCTACGGCAAACTTGCTCCTGGGCCACTGGGGGCAACCGTCCGTTTTTTCTCGAGTGTGTGAGTTGCCCAGCCCTAGGACCTAGGAACTAAGAGGCCATGGAAAATCGAATGCGTAGCGGATGGTTCTTGTTTTCAGAGTTTTGGCCAGGGGTCGACATCGTGCATTTGTCGAAAGCATCCGAAAGAGTCCGAAAGCGTCCGAAAGCGTCTGCGAGTGGCACGCATCAGCTGTAGTTGCAGAAGCCCATCGTTTTGGCATCATTTTGGGCTTTGCATGTCCTAGACATGACGCTGCGCCTCAGGTGCGCCATCCTTGTGACTGTCCTCACTTTCGGAACCCCGTTTGTTTTTGCGTCTCAATAGTGCCCACAGTCAGGAGGATGTGGCATGTGGGGGGGGGGGGGGGATTTTGAAGCTTGGTTTTGTGTTTAGGCCTCAAAAGTTCTGACAGGTACGAGGATGAGGCGCACGGGTTGCACCATCTTCGTAACTGTCGTGACATCTTAAGCTTCGCCAGACACTTACGAGTGAGGTGCCGTCGCCATTCTCGTAACTGTCGTCACCTTTGAACCTTGGCAAGGTGTTGACGCCTCAAAGGTGCAAAAGAGAAGTAGAATGAGAAGGAGAAAGAGAGAGAGAGAGAGAGAGAGAGAGAGAGAGAGAGAGAGTGAGAGAGTGAGAGCCAGAAAAAGATGGATAAGACACCTCATTTCGGATCTCGTGTCGTGAGCCGCGTCTCTTGTGTTCGCCGTGTACGTGACACGTGTCTGCATTCGGCGTCGTGGCCACTATCAGATTTCTTTGGTGTGTGTGTGAGAGAGAGAGAGCGAAGTATGGAGACGAGATTTCTTTTAGAAACCCGTGCTAACACGAGAAACCTCAAGGCTAGAGTAAGTTTCTTGCTTGGGGGCTTTATCAGGCCCTTCTTTGTCTGAGTCTCTTGCAGCTGGCACAAGGGACTTGATGGGGCCAGCCAGTAGACTTAGTAGACTCAGTAGACTCAGCCTCAATCATGAACTACATGCCGAGCTCTGAAACCCAGCGGTGAATGTGACGACCCCCCTCCCCCACCCTTAAGCTTTGAGCTAAGGTTCTCCCCGCTCTACCCGCAGCACGCCAAGCTCATCAAGCAGCATCTGGGGCCGAAAAATCGAACACTGTTGAGGGCTCAAGCGGTCTTTGGAACCCCAGTATGGCAACCAGAAATCGTGACAACAGAAACACCGAACTTTGGCTGTGGAGACCTTTCAATCCGAAGCAGCATGCTGCTCGAAGGAACGCCATGATCAAGCATGCGGTATGGCAGACCTACGACAAAAGTTGCGGACGGCAGCTTGGCCCGGGGCCCGGTACGATACGACGTTGAAGTGGGCGTCCGGCATTCAAGCAACAGTTCTTGCGAGTTTATGCTTTTGAAGGGTTCGGGGCCCCTCATAGCCTTTCTTCGGCATGGGATCTATAGCGGCGGGGCAGTCAAGGGCCAAGAATTCGACTTGCTTTGGGAGTTCAAGCCAAAAGGAGGTATAAGGAATCCTCAAGCTAACGGCTATTCTCGGACCGGGCCCACCCCTCGTTCCAGCGCATATCGTGTCCGTTCGTCCCGCAGAGTGTCTCGTGCCATGTTGAAATTATGGCAGGGCTGATAGAAACAGACTTTAGCACACTGCCTCAGTGCGTCCCCGTCATGCACATGTTGGACGCAAACAACGCTAAAAACTCGATGTTTCTGCGCGGGTTTTTGCTGCATGTTTCACCCCGACAGCATCAGTGCTGGCTCGTCATGCACATGTTGTACTCAAAAATGCAAAAAAACTCGATGTTATTGCGCGCTGAGTGTCTGTGTTTTGGAAGTCCGTCTGACTGAACAGCTGTTTTGCCTTGACTTGTGGATGTTCCCATCGCGCGGGCACGTGTGCGCTGGCCATTCGCATGCGCTGTGAACATGGAACCCAAAGCCAGCGACGCGTCGGAGGGACCTGGGCGAGGCAACCGGGCACGATGGACCCTCGTTCCAGGCCCCTCCTCTCTGAGACCCTTCCATGCAACCCTACATGTTTGTCATGCTAAGCCCATTTCAATTCCAAGCCCATTCCAAGCCACCAATTGATGAGGCCAATTTATCGAACTCTTCGAGAACATGCTCACCTCAACCTTTTCGAATCCCTGGGTGTGCCTTGGCATCTCTTCTTTTGTGCAGATCCGGGTTCTTTTTGCCTTTTGGCCCCTGACCAGTGCTGCTATTGGTGTTGAAGATTGGCAGTTCGTTTGTTTTGTCGAGTCTCAGGCTTTTTGCAGACTTGCTGGGGCTGATGGCTTGTTTGTTAAATGCCTCGGTGGGCTCAGAGCCTGGTTTCAGCTCCACTGAGCTAACCAGCAAACATTATTGTTGTGACCGGTTGCTTTTTAATTGTAAACGCTTGCGCGCGCCGCCTCGACAGCCGGGCCGGCCCACAGGAAAGGAGGAAAGAGGGCCTCGAAAAAGGAAAGCAGGTCAGGGATCTTAGAAGGGTGGGGGTCCCGGGAAGGTCCCAGGCGAGGGGGGTCCCAGAAAGTTCAGGGAGGTGTCAGGGAGGGGTGCCAATGGGGAGGCCAGAAAAGTCCAGCCAAATTTGTGGACCGCCCCCTTTCTAGGAGCCGCCAAGCGATGGGGGGGGGGGTCCGTCACGGGAGACCGGATCCGGGTCTGCTTGTTCCAAACGCTTCTCGGCAGGAAGCCGAGGCGAACTATTGTGATTTTGATAGCTTTTGTTGCCTTAAGCTGCCTGAATGCGTGGATATGAGCCTCAGACGTTCCGCCTTGGCCCGAGCCCTGGCCTTCCAAGACCGTCCAGGAGAAACCCGAAATTGAGGCTTTGCGAGGGCGCATTTCTTAAGGCATACAAGACTTGTGGTTTGCATGGGATTGAGACCTCTTTCACTCAAAGGGGGCCCTCCAAGAGCGCCTCGAGTGCATCGAAAGGTTCCTCAAGGGCGCGACCAGCAGCCCCGGGGCTGACGAGTCGCTGCAGGAGGCGCGTCGCGCTGTCCGTTTCTATATCGGGAAGATGTTTTTTTTTTGTTTTGGGGTCTATACATGTTTTCAGCAATTGATATACATATGTATACATATATATATATATGTATACATATAAGTGCTTATTTACTTTGTTAGACATAGGTCCATCACTTCCTGTATGATGGTTGAATGGCCGGGGCCAGGGTGTCGACTAGTCGTGGATGTCGCGGCAGTATATGGAGTGCGTCGTCCAAAGACTCCAGACTTGAGCTTCCCGCCTCCGCGACTGTTAGTAGTCACTGTGCAGTCCAGCTAGGCATTCAAAGAGATTCTCAAGAAGACTCGTGCGCCTCAGCATGCCTCAGCTTCGTCTTCGGCATGAGCTTTTGACCCAGCGCATGTGTTTCATGAGCAGCCATTTCCCTCCCAAGCCTCATGCCCATAGGTGCCGTGACGTGCTATGGATCTCAGTTCGGACCATATCTGCGTCGCTTGCCATGTGAGCAAACCAAATGTGCCTGTGGACACGTGGTGTGCTGCAGTCGCTGCTCATCCTTGCTGCCTTGGGACGCGTGTCCCTACTGCAATGCGCCAATCCGGGACCGGCTGAACCACAAACCGCTCGCAGAACCCTGAAGCCCCCCAAAGCATGCAATGCAAACACCTTCTACACCCTCTCCGGTCCGAAGCAACAGCTTTCATTTCCGTAAATGAACGCGGCATTCAACTCCCTCAACTCCCAAAAGCCGCTGAAACGAAGCCCCAAGCCCCGACAACCTGGAACCTCCAGGATCGAAGACGATTCCACGCCAAAGCCTTCTACATTGGGAAGGGGCATCCCCCGTTGACCTCGAAGAGGTGGAGATTTGAGGATTCAAGCCTCCGAGTCGGGAATCGCTGGGCTTTCTTGGGTGGGGTTGCGAGCAACAACGGTCATGATGCTGCTGTAGTCTTGCCGAGTTTTCCATATTATTTGAAAAAGCATGACTCCGGGAGATTTGCCAAGAGCTGTGCGAAGCATCTTGGCAAACTCAGGTTCCAAAACTCCGCTGCAGGGTCCTTGCACAATCGTCGTAGGTCATTGCTTTTCCCCTTGAAGGAATGGATTTTGGGAGGGCCGAGCAGGGGCTGCAGCACCTGCATTGGGGCTGTGTTCGCAGTGTCCTTCGTTTTGGTGAAGACGCTTTCCTCTGGAGTTGACTACGCCTCCGTCTGCTGCCCGACCCTGTTGCACATGGGGAACGTGTTGGTGCAGATGTCTCTGCAAACCGCTACGGGCGCACACTTTGTCTACAGCATGGTTACAGTCGCATCCTCGCCCCCACACCGCAGCTGCTGTGGAATGTGCTGGTGCAGATATGCCTTTGAGCAACTTCCGGTGCGCAGTTCATCTACAGCGTAATAGTTCTGGTGCCTCTCTACACTCACGTCTTGGATCCGACGCCTCTGCTCATGAGGAGACTGACGGTTGAGCTCACTGCAAGAGCTGCTTCCGGTGCACAGTTTGTCGTTCATGCAGTTTTGCCGCGGACTTCTTCCTTTGGCAACCAGTCGTGCAGCAGGATTTGGCCATCATGGAAGTTGGTCCAACTCAATAGTGTTTCTCAGCTACCCTTAACATTGATGCCCGAGTCCCTACCATCCGAAAGCCCCTCGGCCCTGAGTGATCCCGCGTGTTTGTCTGCCGTGATATGCATTGTTTGTCTGCCGTGATATGTATTGTTTATAGCGGGTGGTCTCGTCGGTGTGCAGGGGGGGGGGGGGGGGGGGGGGGGGGCAGGGACCAATTGGGAAAGGTTACACTGGTCCACCGGAAAACGTCAACTGGCGCGTTGTGCCAAAAGCCTGACGAGCCCCTCTGGACTCCAAAAACTCGTGGGGAATTGATCAAAAAAGTCGCAGCGTCAAGCTTAAAAGCCCTGATGCCGAAGGCGATGCTGCCCTCCTTCGACGACACAAAGAACCGGATCCCCAAGGAGAGCCTAGTGCGAGAGCTCGCTCTTGTGTATGCTACTTGAGAAGTGCAGAAGGGCTTCAGGCCCCCTGAGAGTAGGAAAGAATAGCGACTTTCGTTTGTCTAGTGTCCAACTCTGTTCTTGTTGTGGGGGCCCGTTACTAGGTAAACATTTTAAAGACGAACCCGTCCCCGAGCAGCCCGAGCCCTAGCGCTGGAGAGCCTTAGGCAGCCTTAGGTTGTTGCCCCAAGTTGCCTCTGTGTACACAGCTTCACAAACAGCTTCACCAGCAGCTTCACCAGCAGCTTCACAAGCAGCTTCGCAGAGCGAACAGCGTTTCCACTCCAAAAGATCCCTGGCAGCGCTTTCACTCCAAGTGATCCCTGGCCAAGATCATCCAAGGTTCCAGAGCATCGGTTCCTTTTGGTCCCCCTTTTGGCAACCCCTTGTTGTTCGAGCTAGGAAATTCAGAATCGCAGCGGCATGGAGGCCACTCTCTCGAGGCACCTCGAAGGGGCCCCCGAAAATTCATTCGAAGACCTGGGAAGACAGTTCGGGGGGCCTCAGAACGCTTCATCAAGTGGTAGTCTGTGGTTTCGGTCTTGTGGGGTTGGGAGGGTGTCAGGACGTTGTTTTGTTTTTCTCGGAAATGCATATTGCCGTATTGTGTAGAGGTCAAGAGTTCCCGGACTCCTGAAATGGAATTCCAAAGCTCTCACATCGGTCTAGAAGCAACTTCCATCAAGTGAGACTTCATGTGAAGCCACTATCGTTGAGGCATTTGGAAAGCTTTTGGCTTCGGTCTTGGGTTTGTGCGTTTCGCGCCGTTGGCCTCGGCTAGCTTTCCGATTCCGGAAGTCCCCCCCTAGGCCGAGAAACCCTCCTGCAGGTGGCTCACCGACATCCCAACAGAGCCGCACGAGATCGATGAGGCAGTCGACATGGTCCAGCCGCTTTCCGGAAGATGAGGTGATTATGTGTTCTGTGGCACCATGTGCAGCAACCTACTAGTGTTCATCGCTTGCCGAGCCTTCTCTTTCCGGCTGAAGCAGAACTGCCACAGAACATCCAAAGTTCTGTCCGCGGCTGCAAGGCTTTCGCCAAGGCTCATCCCATTCTGCCATCCACATCTGCCCACCAGTGCGAGAGCTACAAGTTCTAGATAGTATGCGTATTCGTGTGTATGTGTATGTGTATATGTATGTGTATGTATACGAGCTTGGGGGTGGTGCCCAAACATCACTCCGCTGCAGGACAACCGTCATATCGCAGCACAGAACGTCCTCCGGGTGTTTTAGCTGTTTCCACATCTGTCCCCACGAGCTTCACGAAGATAAGAAAGGCCCCACGGGTTCGGGGGATCCCACGAGGAAGCCCGACTAATTCCAGGAACTGTTTTCTCACGTGAAAGCTCAC